TTTGAAAACCCTACCAGTTTTTTTTTCTCTCAAATGTTATTATGGTTTCTGATTTTATATTTTTATGTTCTTTTTTTTGTGTGGGGGAGAATGTATGTGTATGTGTTTGTGTTTGTCATGCTTTTTGTTCATATTTATTTATGTATTTATTATTTATTTATTTAGCTCTTTTATTTGCCTGTATGTTTTCTAAAGAGAGTGGGGGAAGAGAGAGGGACAGAGAAATAAGGCATGGAGTTGGATGGATTGGGTGGTGGAAAGGATCTGGAAGAGATACCTTGATCAGACTATATTATATGAAAAAAAGGTATTTTCAATCAAAGAAGTTTTTTTAAAAAGCGCTATTGTGAAGTGAAGGCATTTTAAAGACTAATTAAATTATTATTCAACAATCAATTATTTTGTATGAAGCTCTGTGATAAAGGCACTAAAATTATCATATATGACATTGTTAGATGTCTTGTGAAAAATAATAAATGTTAAATTTAAGTTATCCTATTATATAAGTAATTAGGGAGACATTTTTAGGGACAAAAAAATCCACCTATAATACTGAAAATTCAGTGTTTAAATATACGCACAGAGTTTTAATGAACCTTTCCTTCTGGGCTGATGGCGTTCTCTCTAAGAGCCAAAGACAACCTAACAAAACTCTAACACTAGGCAGAAGAAGGCCTCTTTCCTGTTGCCCAGGGCTGCCCAAGGGACTCTCAAAGCATGCAGCCTATCGCTGTTGCCCTTGGTTACCCTCCAGCAGTGGAATGTAGTCCCTATTGTTGAAGACACAATGCACTTCAGAAAGAGGGCCAAGGCCCCTGAACTGGGACTGACCTGAATGCCATCTCCCCAAGGACTAGTTTTCATGATACTAGAAGGCACTGTGCAAGTTTTCAAAGGAGGGAGGCAACCAACAATCCTACCTAGCTATGACACCTATGAATCACATTAATGACGAGCATGGCATGATACAGTTAAGGGTGAAGCAGTGGCATGCATAACTTGGTGGCAACTAAGAGATCTCTAAGTGGACTTAAGAATTGCTCAACAAGAGGGAAACTATGCCTGGTACTGGAAACCTAGCTAACTACTCAGTAGTAGTAAGTGAGGTCGTGGTTCTTGGAGGAGAATCTACAACCAATAATTGACTAAGCCAGTATAATCCCTAAGAAATAAACATTTTCCTTATACCCACTAAGAAATGTAGTCTTCACCCATCATCAAGGAAACTTCTCTTTGTAACAGATACAGACCATGACAGAAACCCACAACCAATCAAAATGCAGAATTGTGGAATCCAATCTTCAAAAGGCTGCCACACATAAGGTTCTGGGAATAGTGCAGACGATGAGGTAGAAAGATTGTAAGAGCCAGAGAATTACAGAGTTTGCTGTGAGATTGTTTCTCCTAGTAATATTAGAAGCTACATCCACAGTCTCACCAACATGACTTCCCACACATGAGCTGAACAATGACGACACCAATAGACATGTTAAAGCAGATGGGGGAAAGCCCACATAGCCTCATTCCTACACAAGAATTATAGGCAACCGAGGAAAGCTGGGAGTGGGAGATGGGGTCTTCCCCAGAGAAGAGAGCATCAATTGGTTGTCCAGTGCTAAATGGTCAGTCCTGAAAACATACAATATACAGACTAAACAGGTTTTACTTAGGGATATATATGTGTATACATACACATAAATGGATACAATAAATGTTGTAATTACATTATAATCTCAAAAAGTAAAAAAAAAAAAAAAAAAGCCGGGTGGTGGTGGCACACTCCTTTAATCCCAGCACTCCATTTGGGAGGCAGAGCCAAGAAGATCTCTGTGAGTTCAAGGCCAGCCTGATCTACAGACTGAGATCCAGGACAGGCACCAAAACTACATGGAGAAACCCTGTCTCAAAAAATAAGAAACAAAACAAAACAAAACATAAAATAAAGAAGAAACTTAAATAAACATCTATGAAACTGTGTGCAATACAAAAGAAAGTTATATACTTACAATATACAATGATGAAGAATAGAAATGCCCATCAAATCTCTTTTTGTAATGTTTTTTATTTGAAAGTTCTTTACAATAAAATTTAATAAAAATAGATGTGTAATAAAAATGTCTATTCTAAAAAGAAATAATGGGAAGACAGTAAAGAAAGATTGGACTAATACAAACCCAAAACCCAGCAGGGCAAAAATCAAACAGTTAGGTCCATGTGATAGATAGTATTAATTGTCAAATGGACAATTAGGAGGCAAGTCTCCAGGCACACCTGTGAAGAATTGTCTAGATTAAGGTTAGCCTCTGAGAATATCAGTGAAGGATTGTATTGGTTAACTTAATTGATATAGGATGATCTACTTTAATTGTGCATAGGATCATTCTCTGGGTAGGGGTCCTTGGGATGTCTAAAGTGGAGAAGGTAAGCTGAGCACAGATAAACATTCATATTGCTCGGCTCTGACTGGGCACATAATGTGACTGACTTCTTGAAGTTCCTGGTGCCTTGACTTCCCCATATGATAGACTATAACCCAGAACTGTGAACTAATATAAACCCTATTCCCCTTAAGTTGCTTTTGTCCAAGTATTTTATTACAGCATGAAAAAAGAAACTAAGGCAATCCACACCTGGCATCTGTACCACGTGGTGGCACCGTCTGTGTCCCAATGTGCTCCAGTTTCCATGAGGCTGTGACTGGGAATACACATGGCCTCTGTCTTGGGCTCAATTTGCTTGGTGCCCATAGCTTTCCTTGTTGGACACCCCATTTTCCTCACAGCTCCACCATCCAGGAGTCTCCATTGCAGCTTACCGTGGCTTTCACTTGCTGAGGAGTTCCATTCAAGGAACCTGGTTCTACTATGTATTAAATGCTTGGGCTTGTTAGCTTTTTTCGAGAGCCTTGACTCCAGCTGCTGTGATTCTGTAAGTCTTGCATTTTGCATGCCTACAAAATGACACTACAGGAATGATGCCATGTTATGCTGAAAGGCACCTTTCCTATTGCCCCAGTGCTGTGAGCAGTGTTTCTTTGAAATTGTGTTGATCTCTTTAAAACTTATACTTGCTTTGTCTGTGCCTCCTTTGTCTGAGACTTCACACTTTCATACTGCATGCTTTTTACATCTTTCTCCTCTAAATCTTGCTTCCTCTTATATAAATACAGCTAAAATCAGAAAGAATTAATCATGTCACACCCTGAATGCTATGCAGTCTTGAAATTTCCCCTGCAAATGAATCAGTCCATTACTTTGGAATTCAACCTCATTCCTATTCTCTGGACCTAGGCAAAACGTAGCCAGATTCTTTACCATAATGTTGTCCAAATGACCTTTAGTCCAATTCCTTGTTGTCCTCTGAAACCTCATGAGCATAGCTTTGTTTTTTTGTTTTTGTTTTTTTAAAAACATAACTCATTAAGTCTTTGTGAATTTCACATCATGCACCCCAATCCTGCTCACGTTCCAGTCCCTCCATAGCCACCCTCACCCCTGTAACGCACCCCCAAGAAAAACATTATTAAAAACAAAACAAAACAAACAAACAAACAAACAAAAACCCACCTCTCTCCTCTGTCTTTGCAATACCTCTTCATTCATCCTAGAGGCATTGGGAGCTGGGGTGTGTCACGTAGTATACCTTTTTTTCCAATCAGCCCCACTCGCAAAATGTTCATTGAGATGAGTCATTGGTTGGTTCAAGGCCTCTGGCACACCATCATCACTGGACCCTCATCGGAAACTCCTCTTGGAAATCCTGCTGTTGTCCGAGTCATGGAGATCCTGTGGCTGTCATTCCACAGGACCAGTCCCTTCATGTACTCCAGCAGGTCATAGATGGGGTTTGATGTTAGAGTGGGCCAACCTAAGGCCCAGGATGTGGGTCTTGGTGGTTTCTAAGCTGGTTGGTACGGGTTTCTAGGACTCCCCCGTCCCCATGCCTCAGGTGAGGGGTGGAGCCAACTCTCCTAGACCCATGTCATTGGAGCCAGCTTTCCCATGCCTGTGGGAAGGGGTGGGGCCATCTCTCCTGAGTGTGGGGGCCAGCTTTCCCATGAGGGGCAGGACCAGCTCTCTTGCTGCAGTGTTAGGGCCATGGACATGGACCCAGACCTAACCCTCAGCTGCAGCCCAGGCCCGGATGTCACCATGGTGGTACCTTGTGGCAATACAGGCCACTCTGATATGTATGGCCTCAGCTGCAACATGACCCTCAGACCCCCACCCAGTCTCAGGTGACAGACCCTGGGTATTTGCATGGCCTTCAGTGTTAACAGGAGACACGGATATTAACACAGACCCTGGCTGTGGTAAGGCCGTAGATCCAGATATGGCCCTCTGCCACAGCCCAGGTTCAGACATCACCATGATCCTGGTTGAGAGTATAGTCCATCCAGATTAGCATGGCCCCAGCGGCAGCACAGTTCTTTGATACCAACATGGACTCAGGTGTCTGACCAGACCCCAGTCATCCACATGGCCTTCAGTGGTTACTGCAACCATGGATATCAACACAGACCCTGGCTGCTGCAGGACCATGGACCTAGACATGTCCCCCCAGCAACAGCCCAAGCCCAGATGTCATCATGTCTCCAGGTGGCAGCACAGACCACTCAGATCAGCATGGCCCCAGCAGCAGCATAGCCCTCAGACACCAAAATGACCACAGGCGGTGGCCTAGACCCCAGGCATCCCCATGGCCCTTGGTGGCAACATGGGTCATGGATGTCAATACAGATTCTGGCTGCAGTAGGACCATGGACCCAGGCTTGGCCCTAGGTAGCAGCCCAGGCCTGGATGTTACCCTGTTCTTGGGTGGCAAGCAGGCTGCCACTATCGGCCCATTCCTCACAGCCCTTACTTCTTCAGATCTGACTCTTACCACAGCAGACAAACAGTTGTGCTTCTCTTTCCCCCCTGTTTCTCCACTATGTGCTTGTTCATCATAATGGGACCCACCCGCCTAGCAACACAAGACATCAGGCAAGCCTGTGGATGCCTTCAGCCAGCCCAGACTGTGATGACCCAGGCTGGACCATCGGTGTCTTCTACCTGCGGGAGCAGTGTGGCACCAGGAGGGGCTGTGGATGCCTTCAGCCAGCCCAGATGTGAGCACAGCTTTTATGTTGTTGAGACTTCTATTCATGTTTTTATTTTCTGTGCTTCCACTATAAATGGCTGCTCAAAGAGCTCTAGGGCTGGCTGGCTGGATGCTCAGGAGGGCATACTTCGGGTTTTCCCATTATGAGAATTTTATCATCAAAATAAATAGAATGTGGAATTAAAGAAAAAAAAAGAACTCTAGGGATTGTCTATCCTGGAATTCCAAACTTCTAGTCTCCTCTCACAAACCAGCTCTGAAGGTCTAAGAGTAATGAATGGGTGGGTTTATTACAGTGACAATCCCACTCCTCTTATTAATTTCATGTATTGGTTACTTCTCTCATGGATGTAAAAATCCCTGACAGAAGCAAACCCCAGAAAGTTGTATCTGGGTTTTAGTTTTTGGCCATCATCATAAAGACATGGTGGAGTTCACGGTGGCAGGAGTGTGTGTGTCAGAGGGTTACATTTTATTGGATCAGGAAACAGTAGGGCTAGAAATAGCAAACAGGACTGGAAGCAAGAATAGGGCTACCATGGGGCTTGGAAGTAACATGGGAAGCTTTACCCCTAGTGGCCTACCTCTACCATCTAGGTCTATCCCTTGAAAGTACCACAACCTATCAACAGAGTCATTAGCTGGGCAACACATGATCAAATACATATTCTAGTGGGAGATATTTCATCATCAAACTACTACATCTCCAATTAGCTGATGACAAATGCCAGTGCTGGGGTCTCACTTAGAAACTTACACTTTTTTTTAAAATCATTTTTTGTTAGATTTACTTACATTCTCAGCTCCAGAGTCATTCGGTCCCCATTCTGGAGACAAGCTAATGACAGCAGGAATGTAGTGTGGGGGTTCTTAATTGGAACCCATGCTACCATATAGTGACATTTACAAAGATTTTTCTATAAAGTAGAAGGCAAGGGTGCCCTGCCTGCCAGTGGCCTCGTTAAGGTGCCAAAGATAATTACCAGACAGAGCAGTGCTGATTTAATTGATTCTACCACATTTGGTTTAAAGACAAAGGCCAATGTAGGGAAGGAGCAGTCAAGCAGAAACTGCCTTTCCTGCCCAGAAAGTGATCACACTGTTATAGAAATATGTCAGTGGGGGGTCAAGCAAACTCCTTAAAATGTCTTGGTAACATATACTAAGACCGAGTTGGTGTGGGTTCCCGTCTTCCATGGGTCTAATATTCAGGCATAGGCTGGAGAGATAGAACAGAGGCGCCTCAGGCTTCTGAAGCAGAGGACCAGATCTTGCCACAAAAGTGGGAAGTTGGAGGGCTTGGGAATGATCTGGCAAAGGTGGTGGCCTGAGAGGAATTCCTAGAATGAGTTGGAGGAAATTAGAGAGAGATAATTCCTCACAGAGCAGGTGAAGTACATATTTTACCCCTCCAATGAAGAAACATTGAACAAAATAAAACCCAAGTACCCAGATTCTCACATATACAAAACTTGTTGCCACACCTCCTTAACACAATGGGTAAGCTGTCCTCACTCCCCCCCCCCCCAGGACTTCATAGTCATGATTCACACCCAAGGTCATAGATATCTGGAATGTGTCTAGGGAGAGGGAGGAGTCTGAAGCCATGAGGCCTTGGGAAGCCATGAGCTGTGGTGTCAGGATGCTAGTTGGGGTTATGGGGAAGTCTCCATTCACCCCATGTCCCACCTGACCCACTGCAGGCCCATTCTAGAGGGAGCTTTGCTTTTCTGCTCTTGCCTTTCAGATCAGAAACCAGATTATAGCTGCCTCACACAGAAGCAAGACTCCCTTCCTTTGCGTGCATACCACACATCTAGGTCTGGGGTTTGGATAGGTATGAGAAAGAGGGACACATCCTACTAAGGCTTGTCTTAGTGACCTGGAGATATGTGACATGTGCACACAGGTGACCAGGACAGTAGAAATGGATTGTCTTACAGTTCTGGATTCTGGAAGTCTGGGCCTGAGGTGTCAGCAGGGCAGCTTTCTTCTGAAGTGTTTTTCCTTAGCTTGCAGACAGCCACTGCTCCCTGAGTCTTTTCATGATCTCTCTTCATGCTTTGGGGCCGATTATCCTTTGTTATAAGAACACCAGTCAGAATGCATTAGCACTTTCAAGGCCTCAACAAGTCAATTCCCTTATTACCGTTCCCTTCTCAAAATACAGTCACACTCTGATTTTGGAAATTAGGACTTCCACACTAGTAGGTGTTAGAGATATCTGTGTGTGGGGTGATGAAGTGGACACAGTGAAGAGTGAAAGGCATTTGCACCCTCCCTAACACTGAGCGGCTTCACTTTAGTAGTGGGATGACAGAACTGCCTTCATGATGATGGAGCAGGACAGAACACTAATGAAGAGATCTACCCTTGGGCTCAAGAGAGCAGGGTCATTCCTCCTTGTAATGGTGACAAGACTCTCCTTGACAACACTTTGTCAGTCTATCCTGGGTCCTTGCTGATTGAACTTGACCTTGGACTTCATTCTATGTTCTGGTGGAATCCAATTTTATCTTGAGTCTCACTGTATCAGTTTAGCAAAAAGCCTCTATCCTTAGTGTCTGACCATGCTGAGTATATTAGCATTCTGACCTGCCCTCCAGCGAGAATGCTGTTACATTTGTCTAATGAGAATCCTCTTTACTCCTCAGGTTTCCTCTAAATAGCTTTCTAGCCACTGACCCTGGATTGTTTATAAATTTCCACTTGACCTTAAGTCAGAGTTGAGCTCAGAATTTCATGTAGAACTGAGTTTTAGACCTTTCTCTCCCCCTAAATAAAGCAACTTTTAAAATTCACAAGGCCAATCTGTCTTGTCCTCTACAAGAATCTGGTGAAATTCTGTCTCACCTTGGTCAGGAAGGGGGTCATCAAGAAAACAAACAACAAACGTTAGGATGGAGAGTGGGGAAAAGGAGCCCGAGGTGGGAATGCAGATCAGTGCTGTGGCAACCAGGAAAGCAGCTCCTCAAAAGACTGTTAGGACTCCCAGTGATCCAGCTGTTCCCTCTCTGGATGCAGCTGCTTACAGCGCCTCACTGCAAATCTCCCCACCTGTCTCAGTTCTAACTGAGACAGCATTGATTTCTTTTCTCTCAGCCCCCAACCAATACAGCTCTGAAAGCCCTCCATTGCTGAGCCAGCCTGTTTTCCTGACCTCTGACTCCAGAAGTAAGGCTTTCTCTCCTTCTCTTTTCCATTTCCCTCCTCCCAGCATCTACCAAGATGCTACTACATGATGCTATCAAGATTACTACAGCTTGCCTCCTCTGTTCTCTGTCTCTGTCTCTTTCTGTCTCTGTCTCTCTCTCCTGAGTCCATGTTTTAACTTGCAGAAGAGACTCTATGTTCTTGACACAGCATTCCTGATTCAGTAGACCTGGAGCAGAGCAGTGAATCTGCATTTTTAAAAAACAGGTTCTGATTAGGGGAACATACTTGGAAGACCTAGACAACCAAGGAGGAGAATACTGAAGACACTTCAACACTGACAACATAATAGTTTCTGCCTAAAAGACTAAAAGGAGAGAAGTCGGTTGAAATTTTACTTAGTGTATTAGTTTACAAAAATACACAGAGTGTTTATGAGAAGATGGTTGTAATTGGACACCTTTGTGTTTTTTTCCATATATATATATATATATATATATATATATATATATATATATATATATTCTGCTACATTTTCAAACTTCAACCATGACTTCAGTATGACTCTAGGTAGCATACTGGATTAGATTCAGGACTTGGTGGATTCGAGGCAAGGGCCATGGTAGATGTTTCAGATTTTGGCTGATGTTAGAGTTCTGTGGGAATTTCCTGAGGGACTCCAGGGTCTTGTATCCTGTTGTGATATTTTGTTTGCGCTCTAACAAATAAAGCTTGCCTAGAGATCAGAGTGCAGAGCTAGCCACTAGAGGCCAGGCAGTGGTGGCACACACCTTTGATCCTAGTACTTGGGAGACTCATGCCTTTAATCCCAGCCTTTGGGAGGAGGAAACAGGAAATAATATGGCTGGGCAGAGAGAGGAAGTGATAAGGCAGGGTGGAGACAGGAACTCAACCCCTTTTGGTCTGGGGATTCGGTAGAGATAAGAAGTCTTTCTTTTTTTTTTGGTTTTTTGAGACAGGGTTTCTCTGCGTAGCTTTGCGCCTTTCCTGGGACTCACTTGGTAGCCCAGGCTGGCCTCGAACTCACAGAGATCCTCCTGGCTCTGCCTCCCGAGTGCTGGGATTAAAGGCGTGCGCCACCACCGCCTGGCGATAAGAAGTCTTTCTAGTGGCTGGCTGCTCTGCTTCTCTGATCTTTCAGCTTTCACCCTGATATCTGACTTTGGGTTTTTATTAAGACCAATTACAATTTTCTGCTACAGTGTCCCAGTAAAAGTAATTGGACAGAGACACCTGGATAGTGGCAGAAACAGGAATAGCTTATTAGAAAACATACACTTTGAAGCTGGAGAAAGTTTAGAAGCTCAGTTGCAGCGATGTATAAAGGATAGGGACTTTGATGCCACATTCTGTGTTGTTTGGCTCTTTTGCATGGTGGTGTTTTCTGGGGGCCTGGGTGAGTCCTGGCAACAGCTTCCTTGTGTGCTAATTTTGCAGCCCTTATATAAAGTCTTGCCCACTCTGCCCTTCTCCCTGATTCCTCACCTCTCTGCTAGTGGCTACCCTTAGGAACTACAGGCCAATGTTTAGGACCATCATGGTCTCCATTAGGAATGGGCCTGTAGTCTGGGCTGGATGTTCCTCCAGAACATTCAGGGCCATTCTGTTTTCCACACCGTATCTTATTTTAAGCCCTAAGCAGTGAGGAGCCATCAGTAAAGTGTTTTCCTGGGGACCTAGTTTGACATTCATGCTGGCTCACATCCATTAGCAACTGCTCAGGCCTCTCTCTCTCTCTCTCTCTCTCTCTCTCTCTCTCTCTCTCTCTCTCTCTCTCTCTCTGTAAAAGTTAGATCAGGGAACTAGTGGAGCCAGTCCAGAGACTGGGTGAAG